CTATCTCCCCGAGTGGGGTGCTTTTAGCTATTTACCTTCTGGTTGAGGAGACGTGCAAACCATTTACTGTTAAGTGTCCTTGGTTTAGAGAAGATGGGATTTACTAGATGGCTGCAAACTGCTGTTTAGCTATCTGTCTGTTTCCCTATTCCACTTGCCAAGGAATTCCTAGCTTCTTACTGTCCTGCCTCATAGACAGAGGCTCAGACAGACTAAGAACTGGAGTCCTGGAATTCTGATCCCACCTAATTTTTCCATTAATCGTGTCCTATTACTCCCACTACCAGTGCTTAGTGATCGTCACACCGTAGCCGTGTGTGGAATATTCAGTAACAGGCTGCGTGTGAATGACAGCAGCATCTCGTTCACCCTCCACCCCGTAAACACTCAAGCTGTGGACTGTCAGCTCAGCCTGGACATACTCTGATGTAATTCTCAGGCCTGCGGTGTGGGCTTGACATTCCTCCCAGGGGGTCAGAATTCATCCTAGCCACGGGAAGAGCTAACCATCCGCCCGAGCATTTGATCTTCTGAAGTGGACTTCACTGGAGGAGTATCACACAGTGAGTCATTGAACTGGGTATCTCTGCCCTGACATCCACTCCTCCCCTCTCCTCCCACACCCCTACACTCCCAAATACCTGAGACAAATCAGTGCTAGAGATAATGCTAAGATCAGATGAGTAGCCCGAAAGCCCTTTTGTGCCCAGGGGATTGTTAAAGGGATTTGCCAAGTGCATCGGTCTCCTCCCTGCTTCGTAGGATCCCAGCCTGCCCTGTGGTCTAGGCTGGAGAATCCCAGTCTAAAACAGCACCTTTGAACCAAGATGCAGTCCCCTACCCTGGTGCTGGGGGTTTACATTTGGAAGCACTTAAATGACACCCGGAGGTGTGAGCCTGAGCTTAAAACCTCAGTCCTTCAACGTCTTTTACATCTTTAATTTTTTTTTTCTTCCCAGGTTGTTGCAACCAAATTAACTCTCTTCCTGGCTCCTAGTTCCTTCTCCAAGAGGTGAGGGATCAGACAAAGATAAGGGGGTGTGAGGAGAAGCCCTTTATCTGGGGAGAGAGATGTAGGCTGGGAAACAGGAGGTGGTGATTAAATTACATAGCATGCGTTTCCTGTCTGTTGCAGACTGATGTCTGACGGTCGGTTCAAAGATGTAAAGCCTTTCCCAGTTCGTTTTTTAAAAAGCCTAGATTTCTATTTGGTAGCTGGTTTGTGCTGAGTGAAATAAATATCTTAAGACTTTGCTGCTTATTTTTTCAAGGAGAGCTGCCTGGGTAAGTGAGCAGGTAAATGACTGAAGAAGTCAGCTACGATACAATCACACCTACTGGGACATACATAAACAGAGACCCCAAGAAAACTGTCAGAGTAATTTGAGGCAGAGTCACCCAAAGCAATTGCATCCAGCTCTGGTAAAGCCTAGACAACTGAGATCTTAATCACAAAGGGGAGAAACACCGTGAGCATCTGGAGTTGCTCAGTGGTTGAGCATCAACCTCTGAACCAGGAGGTCATGGTTGGATTCCTGGTCAGGGCACACGCCCAGGTTGCGAGTTCGATTCCCAGTGTGGGGCATGCAGGAGGCAGCTGGTCTTTCAGTCAAGGGATTTTAGCTGTCCTCAAGTCAGTGGTTTGATTGTCCTTGTTAATCTGGCTAGCGGGCGACATCATTGGCGACGGGCTTCCCGAAGCATCAGCGAGTTGAAGGGCTGCATCAAAGGGTCCATCAGGGCCTCACTTGATGGTGGTGTCAGTGTCCAGAGAGGAGTCAGCTGTGCCCTCTGGGTTGGCTGATATGGAAGATACTGGGGAGGAGGAGGAGGAGGCAGAGATGGAGGGTAGTAGAGAGAAAAAGAAGAGAAAGCAAAAGAACTACAAGGCATGGAAGTGTTTAGAAAAAAGAGGGAGAAGAAAGGGAAGAAGGCAGCATCCTGACACAGCCCTTTCCTTCAGCTGCCCCTTTCCCTGTGGTCCAAGGTAGAAATCCAATGCAAATGCTTTTGTCCCTCCTTGGCCTACTTAAAATTTCCTCCAGCGTCCACTAGACCTAACTGGGAGGATAAGTGCTTATTTAGATCAATGGCCTCAGAGTCCAAATGAGGAGACGAAAGCTCTCCAACCTCCAGTTCCCTCTGCACTTCCTGAATCTCTCATTAAGGGGCACACATAGGGCCCTTAAGATATGCTCTCATGGATAATTAGATTTGTTTCCCCAACTATGTGAAGGCTCCAAGTCAGCAAGAACCACATCTGGGGTTCATGGTGTCACCCCAGAGCCTCACAATGCTTGCTAGGGTGCTGCAGGCTGGTCCAGGAGAAGAGGTTCAGCAGACCCAGACCACGAGATGGCCTTCCCCCCATCAACATTTTCCTGAGCTGGGAGCTGGAGCTGGAGCTCCCATGGTAGGAAATACATGTTCTTCATCCTGTCTTCAAAGACGAGTCTTATAAAGCAGATTGCATGTGTTCACACCACACACGTTTGCAGCTCTGGCTGTATGCCAGGCACAGTGTTAGGTGTTGGGGACAGGGACGTGAGTAAGTGTTGGGGTCCAACCCCAGCAGGTCCAGGGGTTCCCAAAGGTGTGGACAGAGTCGGCAAAGAAGGAATGACACGGAGACAGCCTTCAGTTGATCAGCAGCCTAGCCAGGTTCTCTAGCCAGGATCTCCAGCCA